GGGGGGGGTTTGGGATTGCAAAATGTTGATTCACTAATGATGGTACAGAGATAACTTTGTGCAGCAAGTTGAAGCCTATGAACCATATCATAAGTGATTCTGTAGCAGAAGTTTGCAGCAGCTACAAATCTCGCTAATTATCTATGGCGATAAGTAGTTTGGCTTCAAACTTTCTGCTATTGCTGACTCTAGTAGATGTGTATGAAGTTTGTAATTGCTGATGTGACTTGATTGTTTCATGCTACAGTGAATAACATGGGTAGCCATTGAGTTTGGCAGTTTTGTGTACAATTTCAAACGCTGCTTAAAGTGAATTGCTCAACAACTAAGTAATAAAACCGCAGAAAAGGGTATGTCATAGCCCTTTCATGGACTAGAATTTATTGTCTCTGTCACCGAAAGCATTGGAAGAGTTTTGTTGATACAAATCACTGCTTTCAAAAAATCCCTTAGATGACATAGCCCTGTGGGTTGCTTTGCCAATGTGCACTGAACAGTAGATGTATTTGTGAGATGAATACAGATTTGTGCTAAAGGAACTAATAGAAGCCCGCCCTCATATATGGGACCTGGAAGCTTTTGGTAACTAGGTTTTGCCTGCTCCCAGTTTTATTTTACTTGACGTCCAGGTGTGATATTTTCAATAGGCAACAGAAACATAACAGTAAAATTCTCCAGTCTTAGTAGAAATGATTTGGCTCCATCTGAAGCATTTTAGTTATAGTAATTTTACCAAATGCATACATTTTATAGCTACTAATACATCAATCCATAACATATTGTTGTTCAATATATTATATCTCCCCTTAGTACTTTACAAAACAATCAGGATACGTCACAGGACCAAGGCCTAAAATATGTTTTATATGCTATCTATACCAAAATATTCAAATTGAATTTGTAACCTAATTATTCATCAATGTCATCATTATGTGTATTTTATAGTCTATAAATGTCCTCACATATCGGTTTACAATTTTGTGAATTGTCTTAAAACAAATCTATCTTCAGGCAAATCATAGAACACTCACGGACAGTGCCCTCATCTTACTTATTTCCACAGAAGGCAGACACTACTTTTGTTCATCATTCAGGGTCATGTGTATTTCCTGAACTAAGATATTGTATCAAAGCTGACCCAGTTATGTAAATTTTAAATATATTGCAGTAGCCATTATGTTCTTAGATAGGTGTAGGGCATGCTGTCTCAAACAGATCAGCCCCTTGCTGCTGCCTTTGTAAACTTGAAAGATTCCAGAAAATTAAGGTTGCCACTGCATAAGCCCAATAACTGCTTTGTTAGGATACAATGTACATTTATAAGAAATAATATTGTTGCTATACATAACATTGACACACAAATCCATCCACAACTCTGCTTCAGGCTACATCAACATCCTAGTCTAAAAATATAACCCAAACTGTGCTCTTTGCTCCTCCTAGAACCCCCTGCTAGCTAGCTCCGTCACCACCTCCTCCCATGCTCACCTCCAAGACTTCTCCAGAGCCTCTACCATCCTTTGGAACTAACTACTCCAATCTGTCCACTTATCTCCTACTCTGTCTGCCAGTAGGTGATCCCTGAAAACTCTTCAGGGAAGCCTATCCCAATTCTACCTAAAAAACAAAACTTGTACTTGCTCCATCAGCTCATCCCCTCACAGCTATTATGTTTTGTATTGCTTGCCCCTCTCTTTTATAGTGTAAACAAACAGGACCCTGTTGTTTTGCAACTGTACAGTCTCCCGTTATTTTGTAAAGCACTGCAAAAAACTGTTGGCTCTAAAGAAAAACCTGGATAATAATAATTGTGGAATGTCCTATTCAAGCAGGATTGTAGAGACGCTTACAGTTCCTATTTAGGAAATGGTAGAACAACTCAATTGATGAGATTTATTTCACAGATGTTTATTTATTTTTTCTTACTCTTACAGGTATTGATTGCTTCATCCCTTACGACCATGAGTGCAGAAGCGTGGAACTTTCTTCTTGTCTGGACTCCGATTTTACTCTTACTTCGAATGGCCCCACAATATGTCAGTGCCAAATCTTGCCCATCACTATGTCGCTGTGATGGAGGTTTCATTTATTGCAATGATAGGGAGTTGACGTCTATTCCTTCAGGGATACCAGAGGATGCTACAACTCTCTACCTTCAAAATAATCAGATCAACAATGCTGGGATACCATCTGACCTGAGAGGCTTGGAAAAAGTGGAAAGGATCTACCTTTACCGGAACAGTTTAGATGAATTTCCAATGAATCTCCCAAAAAATGTTAAAGAACTGCATCTGCAGGAAAATAATATACGGACTATAACTTATGATGCACTTTCACAGATTCCTGCGATTGAGGAGCTGCATCTAGATGATAATTCTGTGTCTGCCGTTAGCATCGAGGATGGGTCATTTCGAGACAACATTTTCCTCCGTCTTCTGTTCCTTTCCCGAAATCACCTAAGCACAATACCATGGGGTCTGCCTCGAACAATTGAAGAGTTACGTTTGGATGATAATCGAATTTCCACTATTGCAGAGATCTCTTTGCAGGACCTCACAAATCTAAAACGTCTTGTTTTGGATGGAAATCTCTTAACCAATAGTGGCCTTGGGGAAAGGGTCTTTATGAACTTGGTCAATCTGACAGAGCTGTCATTGATTCGAAATTCACTGCTCTCTCCACCTGCAAACCTGCCAGGCACAAACTTGAGAAAGCTTTACCTTCAAGAGAATCATATGAATTATGTGCCACCAAATGCTTTTGCTGACCTTACCCAACTTTATCGACTTGACATGTCAACCAACAATCTGACATCTTTACCTCAGGGTATTTTTGATGACTTGGATAATTTGACCCAGTTATTTCTACGAAACAATCCTTGGTATTGTGGCTGCAAAATGAAATGGGTACGTGACTGGCTTCAGTCTTTGCCTTCCAAAGTTAATGTCCGTGGGCTGATGTGCCAAGCACCGGAGCGCGTTAGAGGAATGACTATCAAAGACCTTAACAAAGAATTATTTGATTGTAAAGACAGATTTGATACAAATCTAATACAAATAACAACGACAACTATGTTAAACACTTTGCTGCCAGCACAAGGTCAGCGGCCAGTATCTGTGACTAAACAGCCGGAGATAAGGCCGCCTGATCTCAACAAAATCTACCGAACCACCCCAATACCAGTGAGGAAAATTATCACAATAAACGTAAAAGCTGTCACTGTTGAGACCATCCACATTTCCTGGAAAATTGCTCTACCAATGAAGTCACTAAGACTAAGCTGGCAGTTGGGACACAGCCCAGTTTTTGGATCTATTACAGAAACGATTGTGACAGGTGACAGAACGGAATATTTGCTCACAGCACTTGAGCCAGAGTCACCATACCGCATTTGTATGGTTCCCATGGAAACCGGAAACTTCTTTTTATTGGATGAAACGCCTGTTTGTATCGAAACAGAGACTGCTCCACTTAAAATGTATAACCCCACCACAACATTAAACAGAGAGCAGGAGAAGGAGCCTTATAAAAACTCCAATTTGCCTCTAGCAGCTATCATAGGTGGTGCAGTGGCTCTAGTGGCAATCACACTCCTTGCTTTGGTTTGTTGGTATGTCCATCGGAATGGATCCTTGTTTTCCAGGAACTGTGCTTACAGCAAAGGCCGGAGAAGAAAAGATGATTATGCGGAGGCAGGGACTAAGAAAGACAACTCCATTTTAGAAATTCGGGAGACCTCTTTTCAGATGATACCAATAAATAGCGATCCAATGACCAAGGAGGAGTTTATATTACACACTATATTTCCATCCAATGGAGTAACCTTGTACAAAACCAGTCACAGTGAAAGCAGCAGTAACAGAAGCTATAGAGACAGTGGTATTCCAGATTCTGACCATTCACATTCATGATTAAAGGCACAACATTTTTTATAGAGACTAAAATGAGTGAATGGGATTCACTGTTCTACTGCGAAACACTGGATTTAAAAAATGACACTAAGACTTTGAAGGAGCAATGTACTGTACATTTGCCATATAATTTATATTTAAGACCTTTTTTTATTAAAAGTTTCAAAATTTCGGGTTGCTGCTACAATTAAATGTAGTTTGTTGCCTGACCACAATTCTCTATTTTAGTATTTTTTGTAATTTGTACTGTATTTTCCTTGCTAATATTGAAGTTACAGACCATTTAACTCTTCTTTTGTGTTCTACTGAGTAAACTGACTTGTTGACTGTGAAAGTGAATTTTTCTTTTTTTATTTTTCCTGCTGTGTTGAACAATCCAGGATTTTTGGTATTTTTTTTTTCTGACCTTTTGTAGTATAAGCACAGGCCGGTTTTACATATCATTCTAAACACGGTATAAATAAAATGTAGCTACAAAACAAAATAAAGAAAACAACAGTATTGATGGGTCTGTAAAAAAACAAAAACTGTATACAACATTACTCAATAAACAAACAAAAACCCTATGCTTGTAGTAATGGGCATTAATGTACCAAAAGACGCGCTTACAAACAGTCTTCTGCCCCATAGCACAAATAAATTCCCATATATTTTCCAGTCTATTACAATTACAGTTAAACCTGAAACTAGATCTGTGTTTAGATATACATTCCTTGCTTAATATAATCCTTAGGAGACTGAGTAAAATATAGCTCAAAATTATTTTACTTTCCAACCAAAAAAGATAATTTGTGTCAAAGTAAAATCATATAGTATGATTAGCTGTTTTAGTCATTTAAATGTAAAATGTCTAAATATTTATTTACTTAAAACATTTATTTGCACTCAATGTTTTACATTTTATAAAGTGTATCCCCAAAAAACAAAATATTTACCTAGAACATCCTAAAATATAGCTGCCAACAAATTCATAGTGCCCATTACTACATCATACTATATATGTATAATTTTTAAAATATCCATCATGTTATATTGCCTTTCCGTTAATTTAATATTTAAGAGAAATACACTTTTGTTGCCATACTGCCCCCTCCTATTGTATGTTTGTTTTTTTTGGTTCTTTTTTTATTTCAAATAAATGCCAAGGTGCATTGTATGCTCCATTGGTCAGTATTGTATGTGCCTTGATCCAATGCTACATGTATTCAGCTTTTTTTTTTCTTTTTCAGTGACAATTTTTCATACTTGCAGACTATGAAAAATATTGAACTTATTGCTGAATAAAATGAAGAAATACATGAGGATTCTTGATATGGTTTATTGAGAAAGAACATAACAGAATTTGCTGTGCTTCTTAAACATTTGCAAACCATTATTAGGAAACATAATCAGGAGCAATTATTGGCAGCTTTCTATTGCTTCTTTGTTTGGTGAAGTCCTATCATTTTGTATCTGCAATTTTCACCACTGGGCTATCAAAAGTATTAAGTGACATGCAACCTTAGAATTAAAAACATTCTAGCAGAAGGCAAGCGAGCCACAAATAAGTCCCAGAGGATTGAACAAGCACCCAACTGTCTAAACATCACTTGTGTTTAGGCATTAGAGTTAAGTTTGTCTAGTTAAGCCAGATGAGGATCGACTGCCCTCTAAAATTAGCCTCATTTATGACTCTTAAAGAAAGACCATTCTTTATTTTGCCTGTATAGGGCAAGGGGGTGTTCTTAAAATGATGTTGACATACATTTAGTACAAATTTCCTGTTTCATTATAGATTGCCACCACTAGTGATGGAAACCTACTATATAGTGAGCTACCACAAAAAGAACGGCTTTTGCTTTTCATAGCAATATCTTGTACTTAGTTTTTAAATAGTTTATTTTATATGTTTCATTTTTTATTATTATTTATACAGAACCAGAATATTTTTCAGTGTTTTACAGAGAACACTGATTTATTTATATCGCTTCCTGGGTCCAAAACGTTTATGGTATTAGGTACCCCTATCGGCCAATTCTGATGGAAGCTAATGAGGTATATGTCAACCTTAAATATAAAGTACTCTTGTTTGCTTCCTTAGATAAAATAAATGGCATATTTCATAGTTTCTGTGTTTTGAGAAATAAAAATAAATGTCTGGTGATCTTGCCAGCATTAGTGTAGGCCTGATAATGCTAACCACAGGCTGCAAATCCCAGGGTAGTGTTGTCATCATGCTTGCTCACAACCTACAAAACACTTCACTAATGCACTAGGTGCCTGCAGTGCCGCTATCAGCCTGTCAGAGTTCAGGCTGGCACGCCCCCTCTCCTGCCCTGAAGAATTTTATTGCAAGCAGCTCATGTTCCGAGTCATGATGTCCACAGTTCAGATTGTATGTGTTTTGTGGTTTACACCCCCCTTCCTCCCCTCCCCCTAAAGTGGACACTACCAATCCCTTGGACATTGTGGCTACTTGAAACCTCTGGTATAAAGAATTGAAAGCGGTATTTGAGATACTTTTTGTGGGGAATAATACAGGCATTTTGTGAGATATTAAAGCCTGCACTCAGCATAGCATAGTTTAACATAGAAGCATGTTTCTGGGTTGTGAGAAGAAGCCACTCAAAAGAAACACATGCAAATCTGTTGAATGATATACCCCATGTAAACTGGTTTTGGTGGGCCTTAAACAGGTACCCTAGCGCTCCAAGAGAATACATGAAACTGCTTAGTCACTGTATATTTTTAGGCTGTATATTTTTAGGCTGGCGTAATTAAACTTATTTAAACACTAGAGATAAGAGCTTACAAAGAAATTTCTATAAGGTGATTACAATTTAACAAACTGTAATTTTTTACAGTGCATGGCTGGTTTTGCACCTGTTGCCAAAACATAGTTCAGCTAAAAATGGTGAATGAATATTGAGTTCAAGGTTCTTGTAGTACTGAGCAATTTGCTTACACTACCTGATGGTCACTTGAAATCATCACAGGCAGACTGATCTTAGATACGGAAATCTAAACAATTCTGCCATTAAGGTGCCACATCTATGCCATTAAGGTGCCACATCTAAAAGAAGATCATGCAGATGAAAAGAGCAATGATATAAGAATGACCACATAAGTTGACATGTGACTGTACAAATTCTAACATAATTGTCATTCAGTGACCTATGGTTGGTGATATGTTTACCTTCATCTAAAGCAGGGTTCCTAAGAAGGAATGTGAGATATGTCTGTTAGGGGAGCAAGGATGCTGTCCCCCGTTAGGTTCACCGTTTAGGGGTGGAGAATTGAGACTTCATTTTGTGGCTTGCTACATTAAGCAATTGACAGCTGGAGCCAGTACACCACTACAAGTATCTGTTTGTTGGTAGCTAGGGGTGAAGTTACCACGTAGAGGAAGAGAAAATGGTATATGTACATTCATGCACCATTCCCTCTACTTATATAATGTGGTGTTGGTAGGCATGTGTCTAAAGTTTGGTTGTCTGCCAAAGTAAAATCTCCCATGAATGTTTTTATGTATATAATCTTGGTAAGCCTATGTTGTTATTTTTTTCAGTAATTATATGATATGTGTGCATCACATCTTATCCTTACAGATAACCATGAGAAAGGTATTTTTCTTTCATTAAATAGGAATAGGTGTGTAAAAACTGCCTGGTGGTTTAAAAGCGGTGCAAATGAGTAAAAGGGGTAACAAATATGGATGACTAATGTGTCTCAATACATTCCTCTTTGTAAGGAAAGCATATGACTGCTGTGGCTGACCACATTTCACTTGAATACCTATTCCCCAGCATAGTACATGTTATGTGAACACATAGGTTGTGGAATATTGTGTCAACTATTAAAGAGATCCTGTGCTTTGTGGCAAATCAAAAGGTTTGTTTTAATCTCCCACCCCTCCCTAGCATATACTTAGATTCCCCTTTCTTCCCCACAGCTTTGTTCAGCACAAGGACCTAAAGGAAATGCCTAGTGAATGGAGGAGCATGAAACTCATTCCATGGGGCAGCACTGGGCAAATCATCACCGTCGCACAGGGAATCCATAGCTCTGTGTAACCTATTACAACGTCAAGCTTACACAACACTTTCCTTTTCCTCCTGCTGGCTAAATGGAGCAGAAGAGTAAAGGAAAGTGAATCTTTTACTTTGTCCTGCATAGGCAAAGCGCAGGTTCATCATAAAGATCTGGCCACCCAAATTTCAGGTCCTGTGATTGAATGTCATGATCTATGGGCAAACTTAGGTTTTACATTTTACTCTGCATATAATTCTGGGTGAAGTAGATTCACCTAATTTAGCTGCTGTGTTTTAAGACTACTGCACTTATACTCCACAGAGAATGCTTGATTTGACTGTGATCTTACAGAAATGCAGTGGGTATTATATCTCATTAATGCCTAATAGCATATTTGGAACACAATTTTTATAGCCTAACATTTAAAGGTACAGCAGTAACCCAGCGCATTTTGTTATGATTTATCATACTCAAAGATGTCGGCGAAAGTGGCTGCACAGTTCAGGTTATGCTATTAGTTCGGAGTAAAGTACTCTCTTTGTGGTCATGTTGCCTATTTTGTCTAACAACCATAGAATAGTCACTTTACTGCTTGGTTCTTTTGGAAATGTTTAATGAGGTGTAAGTCTACAGTGAAACAATACAGGAAGTTAAGGGTCTGCTTTGCATCAAATTTACCATCTGTGTGGAACTGTTAATAAAAAATACAAATTCTGCTACTTGAGTTTAGAAAGTTTCCACTTTTGTATTGCTCCTTCCACAAAAACCTGGGTAAGTCCCCATATATAAAAGGTGCTGCTGTCACCTAGTGAATCGACAGAGTGTTACATTGTATCCCAACGCAGGCTGATGAAAAGAGAAATGATTAAAGGCAGATATGGGGGATCTGAAGTTACAATCTAAAATCTGCATTTGCTGCACAATAAGGTATGCCTGAAGTCTGCCAAGTAAATGCGTAGGAGACATTTTGTTATTAAAGTGTGTGTGTGCATATATAAAGCAATACTGGATCATAGTCCATCATGTATGCTTCCCAGATGCCAGCACAAGCGATGGCAAAGTGTTCCGGTTTAAATTCTATGACTTAGAAACTGTATTTGCAGAGAGCATAGAGCTGAGCATAAATGTGGGTGTTGTCTCTGGTTCTTAAGAGTTAAAGCGATGTTATTTGAAGCTTGTGGTTGTTTAGGACTATGGCTACAGTTACCTATGGTTCTCAGTGCAGTACTGGAAGACAGGACAAATCTCAATAGCCAAACAGCCAGTGTCCAACTGCTTGTCTGCACAGTTTAGTCAAGTCAACAGTCAAGCTACCGGAGCCCTTTATATCCCAAACTAAAATTAAAAAGTCAAGCACCCGGTATGCTATAA